TGTTCGAAAGTACGCCCGAGGAGCTGCAAACCTGTCTCCCATACGTTCACAATCTTCGGAAGATGGGTGAAAGCAGTCTCCGCGGGTCGTTCTCTTCTTTCATATTGAGCTCCTTGAAAGGAGTTTCATCACTCGCTGGTCACTGTGTGAGAGCCTTAAACGAAGCTGTTAACCAGCCCCTGATGTTCCACTGGTCGCCCAGGCTAGGGGCGCTTCCGCCAGAAACGCAAGTGTATTGTGGTCACGAATACACAGCTCGCATCTCATCTCATCAGAATCAGCAGTTGATCACTTGATCACTTGCAGCTTGCAATTTTGACGTCCACGACAGCCAAACTCTTGGAGACTTTGCCAACATGTTTGTCCATTTAAGGTCAAAAACTTGCAGTTCGCAACTGCAGTTGATGGTGGCAATGAAACTCTCAGGTGGCTGCAATTGCATTCTGATTCATGCCAGCCAGTTTGAGTGTGCAGCTTGCTAGGCAAATGATAGACTGGGCGCAGGAGCAGAAGGCCATGATGAATGACTCCTGTTTTTTTATTTTGTCCTGCCTGTTGTTGAGACCATGATTGCTTACTAGTTCATCTATATAATCTGAAATGACATTGCCGCATCATTATCTTGCACCTTTGGATAGGTCCAGAGAAAATTCACAGTTCCATCAACCATGAAGAATGCTCTTCGGCTGCACCGGGCCATTGCCCAATAAAATGTTCTTGTGATTTTCACTGAGGAATGGTTGATCAATCCCTTTCTCCGTTCTGGAGACGACCAGATGAGGTGAGAATCAAGTACATTATATGTGCATATAAGGATTCCAAAGGGATATATATATATGATATATATTAAACTCCAAATGTAGGGCAGTGAAGTGCAGCACTGTTGCATGAATGGATGCACGTATGTGGTAGATTCTGCCCTCCCTGTGCAGGAGCATTTGTCCTGGCTGCAGTCCTGTCGAAGAAGATGCCTCAGATGTGTTAGTTGCAAACACTATGCGAAAAGCAGTTGCAGTACATCTACTGCATGCCGCTAAAAGACCACTTGCTCTTCGTTTGTACAAGAGTTCTACAAGTGTATATTGATTCGTTGATTTGCATTTCAGTTCATTCATTTTCTACCTTTGGTACGCCACAAGTCAAGGTCTTCGCCACACTTCGCAAAAAGAAGGATTCCTTCTAAGAGCTGACCATTTGTCGGAGAACTCCTGAGTCTGAGCCCTGGGCTTGCCGGGCCACCTGTATAGAGCCTTGCTAACATGGAGTGAGGCTAGGCCTTGCACAAAGATGCACTGGCGTATATAGTTCGAAAGCGGCTTGGCCACCAGGCTCAGTGGCGTAGCAGTTACACTACAAAGCAAAAGTGCGGGGTTTTCACTAGGGCTTCTGACTTTTTGAATCTTTTGGTTGTGCCTTTGTTCCTTTTGCTGTGCGGCTAGAGTCACGAAGCCTCCAGCATTTCCTCTCATGTTCACGAAATGAGTATTGGTGGCTAAAATTGTTAGTTAGTAGGGTCTCTGAGCTGCCAGGAACCACAAGTGTGACCAAGTGTGCTGTGAAGGCTTCAATAATCGCAACCACGAGGTGGCTTCATTTTTATGCACCCGCCTTCACCTTTTCTTTGAGAACGCATCAGGCACACATTTGCCTGCAAGTGTGCGGCCGTCCACTGTCCTGTGGCAACCACACGTGTGAGGAGAAGTCCCACGTCCCGGCTGTAACATCATTTGAGTGCATCAGGTCGACTAGCTAAGTCGTCAGTTGGAGGGGGTGGAGAAGGCCTTCGTTAGTAGGTTGGAGGCCATCGCTCTTGTCCTGAGCGACTGCCAGGACTTCTGCCACTTGGGCAATTGCCCTCCGCACCTCGGTCAATCCATTGGATTGGTGAAAAAACTCCTAGTAGCGTCCTTGCTCCTAGTAGCGATGCCCTTTGTTCCTAGTAGCGTCCTCTCCGTGATTCGCGTGTTCCTCCCATTTGGATCCATTTGGCAGGTGTCGAGTCGTGGTGCACGAAGCCATTTTTTGTGCTTGCGGAAAGAATTGCATTGACCCCCCCTCTGTGTGGAGCTAAGCAATTGCCAAAGGCCTGACTCTCTTGAATACACAATCAACAGCTGACCATTGCTGGCGAGACAGGCATGCGGCACTCAGCCACCTCATTGTGATGAGCCATGTGATCAATTGCTGGGGGCTGAACATGACACCATACACCAACACAACTAAAGACCAGAAAATCAACGAATACCATCATGGAGTCATGGAGCCTCAGGAAAAGAGACAATTATAAAAAATGAAAGAGCATACTGATTTGTGAGACTTGGAAGAGTTGGATGCAATGAGGATGGATTGTGGTCACATTTGCCCAGCAAGTTGCCACCAGGGCCGGAACCTCTAAGTAAAACAACATAGAACAATAAAACCCAGTATCTTAGGTCATCTTAGGTCCAATGCAGTTTGAGATATGTTTCAAGTGATTGAAGCAGTCTGAGGCAAGCCACCAATCACAGCCAAATGATGCCAAACAACAGCCAGAGCCGAGACCAAGCAGAGACCTTTGTCCAAGGACCTCATCCTTTGTGCTACGAGCCAGTGGATCGACTATGTCTAGGCGAACATGATATAATACTTGACAGTTCTGGAGGACAGAATGCCTTTAGTTGGGACATCTGCTTGGACATTCCAGTTCAAATTCTATCTAATTTGTTGTGTGAACTAGAGGCGGCCATATGCACATGAAGAACAAGCCGCGCTCTCAAGTCTTGCTTTTCACAAACAGGGCAAAGTGGCTCCTGATCTCAGGGAAAGAACCTCAAAGAGGCTGCTCCTAAGAACCTTCATTGATCAAAATCAAAAAACCCAGGCTTCGCTGTTCGATTTCGTCGCAGGCGCCTTTCTCAGCTTTTCATCCCAGGCCCTGCCACGTTGGCGCGATCTCGTGTGGTCAAAGCTGTGGCGGGTTTCCCAGGAAAGTAGTCTGAGGAACACAGACAGAGACAGCAGGGGAACACATCTCCGGTTCATGCAGGTGCTTGTCACTGATTGCCAAATTTGCATTTGCAGCACCAGCTGCAGCATAAATCCTGTACTGAAGCATGTCAAGCAGTATATTGGCAGCGACAACAAGTATTAATGCTGGCTTGCTGGAATATTGCATCTCAAACACCTGAGACTAGAAGGGTGATTGGAAGGCCAAGCAACATCAAAAGAGAGTTTTCAACGCGAGTTGCCTGCCTCATCCAGCAGCTATGCTGCTTCACTTTGCCTTGATGAGTGGCCAGGAGGTAGCTGTGTGAGCCCTAGATGATTGGAGATATTTGCAAGACAGTAACCTTTTGTACTGCTTCACAAGACATTCTGCGGAGGAACAGGGCCACTAATAAAGCCAAACCTCAAGACTGGCAACTCTGGCCAAGCCAAACGGTCAGGAAGGCTAGAAACACTAAGCCCTGAAACATCCAGCTTAATCTTTACGACACCTTTGTTACGTCAGCAAGCGTATTGTGCTTGCTGACGTTAGCTAGCTTGCTTTAGCAAGGGAGAGGCCTGAGAGACCAACACAAGAGTCTTTCACTGGTAGGGTTGTTCGTGGTCTGACAGAGGTTGAAGCACTGCCAGAAGATATTGTGGACGATGTCCTAAACCGAGCACAAGATGCATTGAATGTCGTGTTGGTGTCCATGATCAGCTCATCAGGGGCTTTGTTGAATCTCACCAGGCACCTTGGTTTGAAGCAACTTCCTTGGCAGATTCTAGTTTGGGAGTTTGGCAGGGGATAGATTTTTTTGGGGATGCTTTTTAATGCCAAGTCTTTCTGCACCTTCCATGATGTTATGTGCTTTTCTTGGCAGAATGAGTTTGGTTTGTCACTTACACCTGTAGGTAAGTGCTTCAATAGTCCGTGCGGGAGCTGTGAAACTGCTTTGAGACCTTTTTGCTGGTCTTGCTTGCCTGGCAACCTTTGTAGCACTTGATCCTTTGTCTGATCTCGCCGAGCCTTTGTTCCCACTTGCAGTCGCCGTCATTCAAGTATTTGTTTTGTCAATTCGAGGTCCCTGGAGGATGAGGGAGTTCAGGATGGAGATAGATTGATTGTTGTAGTGGACAAATCGGTTTCTCGGATGCAATTCAGCAGACAGTGCTTTGCAGCAGTAGCCGAAGCTGAAGAGACCATTGAAATCCGAGCCCATTGGCAGAAGTCCCCGTGTCGGGCACAAATCGCTTCTCCACCCTCAGCAATTTAAGGCGGCAAGGTACCGAAATTACAGTAGTAGTCTGGGGCCAGGCGATGAACTTGTCTCTTTTGGTCTGAACGCATGTCCATGTCCCTGTCAGTCCGTGTTGCGCTCAGGACCCCCCCAGGCAGTGGCACAGCAACAGCTTTATCTTGGCAGCCCTGAAAAAGGATGGACAGCTGGTAGTTTGGGGAGGTGAAGCTGCTGGCCGCATGGCTTAGAACTTAAAAGGCCATGGCGGCCAGTTTCTACTGTTTTAAAGACTCATCTGTTGAGGTCCCCATGTTTCTGTTGGGCTTTTGTACTTGTGCATGCATCGCTTTGTAGTTCTAAGTTTTTTCGTTCAGCGCCTTTTTTTGCACAGGATCGTATTGTGCGGGGAGGGAAGGGCAGGAAAATGCGACCGGAGCTGCGAAGCTGCAAGGAAACCCTTCAAGAGATCTCTTCGCAGAAACCCATCGCGAAACCTTTTCGTGCGACTCCTTTAAGTGAATCCCTTTTTATGATCCCTTCGCGAGTCCACTTCGCAAGACCACCTTTGTAAGACCGCTTTTCAGTCGCCCGCAAGCATTTTTTGTGAGCCCCATTCGCAAGATCTGTTTGGGAGACCTTTGCACGAGGCCCGCTTGGGTACAAAATTACTTTAGAGTGGGCCGTGTGTGCAAAATTGTCATGACACGGCCGTGCTTCTTTAGAAGGGGTGGGGCCGGGTGCGGGGAGAAGGGAGAGGGTCTTGTTGACCATGCCAGCAGCGCGTGGAGAATGTCATCGGTTTCACAGTGTTGACGTCGCATGGCCGGGTGGGAGGGGGTGGTTGATTTCAAACCATTGTCATCAGTTTCACAACATTGTCATAAAATGGGGTGCAAGATGGGGGATTTTCGCGGTTTGACAAGCTCTTCAGCGCTTTCACTGTCATTGAAGGTTTCATGAACTCCTTGATGACAGTTGTCCAGGTCCATCAAAGGCTGCATCGACAAGACTCCTCTTTGCAGAACCTCGCCACAGCGCCATTCATATTCGCACGGGGCCTCCCCAACCCCCTGAACTATTGCCTAGAAACTTTCCTCAAATCAGGAACGCTTGATTGAAAAGGAAAGTCTTAGATAAGAAGAGGACTTGCCAAGAAGGATCAAACTTATATAATGAAGATGCAAAGGCTTGGCTCCAGCTGAGGGTTGGGGTTACCACGTAGCAGTACGGGAGGAGTCTGATGAGGAGGGGGTAGGGAGAGGACGAAACTCTCACAGCAGGATTGCTTCCTGGCTTTGTGGGAAGAGTGGAAGGGAGGGGACCATGCATGAAATCTACAACAGAGTCTTTTTCTCCGCCAAGCCTCAACAACAATGAGACAATGTGTGATGTCCCGCCATAGAAACAGTTGCATCCACTGTTGTTGTTGTTGTCGTCCTCGTTGTCGGCGTGGCCAGTCGAGAGCCTAAACAACAAGACACGCTTGTGTTCCAGAGCATTTTGATGTGTATATACATATACCGTAAGGCTTCCAACAACCATTGTTTTAATGGTCTTTACCGAACCACCATTGTTTTACTAAGGATTTTACACTACGCAACCAGGTCAACCTTTCTTTGAATGGTCTTGGAAAGCCTAGGATATATATATATATACATACGGTGTATGGCCTTTAAAGAACACATTTTGTTACTGGAAAAGAGACATGTCTTTACACCCCTGTGTGGTATGTACATTGCAGGTGCCTCATGTTGCGCAGTGCCTGAGGACCTCAACAGTGTGGAGTTTGCTTCTAGGAATTGCCGAGCTAAACACTTTTGTTTTGCTTCAGTACCTTATTGTAGAAAAAATTGAGTGCTGTGAATCTACCCGTGTTGCAGACAGGTTTGTGCCAATTCTGGAGCAATAGCGGCTGTGACAGATGGACGCGTGATTACCTGGGGTGAAGCAAACCTTGGCACCTTTGCGCAAGGGCATGAACTCAAGTTTTGGACAATGGCTCGACCAACGGGATGTTGACAGATGTGACAACAAAGCTGAAGTGCTCGATTTGTTTGCTGTGACCGCAACGCTCAACGTGGTTTTGTGTCAGACATTGGGACTCGTTAGGTTTGTTATGAAGGAGACAGACAAATTGAAATGGCTTTGTGGCTTTGTATTGGAAGGCTTTTTCCGTCCGAAGGTGGAGATTCTGCAGCCGTGCGGCATCAGCTCGTGGATGTTTGCAGTGTTTGCTCCTCTGCTTATGCCTTCGCTGCGCTGAAACATGATGGCTCAGTGGTCTGCTGGGGCGACTCCAACGCAGGAGGAGATAGCACTGCAGTGCAGGAGCGCTTGTATCGCGTGACACACATCCCAGACTCCTTCAAATACTCCCTCGAAATACTCCTTTTCCTTTATAAACTGGCGTGGGCCGGGTTCTTGGTGTTATATCTTTGGTCCTCCACGTGTGTATCACGGTTGTGCATGGACCAGTGGGATACTTCTGTGCTTAATCCTATCTCTCTTGCACTTGGCCGAGTGGTCAAAGCTGCCAGCCTTTGTTGGTTCGCATAGTCGCCTATTCTGTCTTGCACGCTAAATTTTTTGTACCCGAACGCCGAACGTGTTCTTGTTTTGTTCAATCTTTTAAAGCTAAAGGCGGCGTGGGTGCACTTGCCGTTGCAGTTTCAAAATCTGTGAAAGACAAAGTGTCGCACTCACATTATTTGAGCATGAAGTTTCTACCAATCCTGCCGAACATACCTGTATATAACATCCTGTAAGTGTAGTATTCTCTGTCAGGAGCAGTTGCACAGTGTGCGCCAGATCTCTGCAGCAACCTGGGCTTTTGCAGCAATAAAAGGTGACGGATCAGTGGTCACCTGGGGAAACGACCGAAAGGGTGGCGACAGCAGCAGTGTTCAGGAGCATACATGATTTTGTAATGGTATGGTGTTTTGTTATTGACATTGGCATTCTCAAAGCATGCATTTGCAGAGTGTATGAGATTAGCAGCTTTGCCAGATTGCAAGTAGGACCAATTGATGAACGTAAAGAGCATTTGCGCATCATCATGGGCTTTTGCAGCACTGAGAGCCGATGGGCGCGTACCAGCCTTTGTTGGAAAGAGAGCCTCATACCTAAAAGCAAAGAAACCAAAAAGCGGTGGCCTCCAACCTAAGAGCGATGGCCTCCAACCTACTAGCGATGGCCTCCAACCTAGTAAATAGGTGAAGAGTAGGCCTTCAAAGATGTTGTGGCCAAGCCAGCTTGACATGCAGACAACGAATGCCAAGGCAATCACCTGGGGAGTTGCAAACAAAGGTGGTGACAGCAGGCAGCTATGTTTGCAAGTTTTTTTGAGGGCTTTTTCCTTGGAGCCGGCTCTAAAGTCGTGCTTGAGCTGTGCTCCCAGGTCTGTGCAAGAGCACCTACACAATGTCCTGCAGCTTCGAGCCACATCTTGGGCTTTTGCTGCCTTGAAAAGTGATGGAACAGTACTGAGTTGGGGTGATCCTGAGAGTGGTGGAGACTGCCGAAAAGTACAACACAGATTGACGAGCGTTTGTCAACTTTGTGCCTGTGCCGAAGCTTTTGCTGCTCTCACTCGGCTTGGTCAGGTGGTGACATGGGGTCATGTTCTGTGCCAGCGAAGTTCATCAGATGGCTCATTGAACGATGTGCAGAGGATGTCAGCTTCCTCCAGAGCATTTGCCGCACTCAAAAAGGATGGCACGGTGGTTACATGGGGTGATAGGCACAAGTCTGAAAGTCTCACGGTTTGACCACACACCGCTGACCAATGTTAACAAACGCAAGGCCTCATAAGATTCTGACGAGGCAGCTGTGTAAGATTCTGACGTTCTGTTTGTCCCACTTTGGGTTGCCTGACTAGGCAGAAAGGAGGCAGCAGTGGAACTATGGAGCCCGAGCTTGTGGATATTCATCAAATTTGTGGATCCTCTTGGGCCTTCGCAGCACTTCGCGGTGATGGACAGGTGATAACTTGGGGAGATCCTCGAAATGGGGGAGATTCGAGCGCTGTCAGTCATTGCTTAAGTGATATCGTGGACCTTTTCGCATAGAAAAGGAGTTGAATCCTGCTGTGCAAAATTCATGCGATGCACTATAAATCGAACGAAATCGAATTGGGTAGAAGACCGAACAGGAGAGCTAGTCAGTAATTTGCGGTTGACAGACAATCCATGCACAAGCTGCTTCACAGTTTCATACTTGCAGCGTTTGCATTGCACATCAATCAACAAGCTTAGTCAGCTCAGGGAAGCAGCTGCCCTGTGGCCACAGCTGCACGTCTCCATGCCACGGAGGTGAGAACTGCCAAGTTTTGCCGAAGAGTCAATATCGGGCAAAACTTTGATTCGCCTTGATGGACGGATTCGGGAAAGTTACCTCCGAGATGGTGCAGGTGAGTGCAAGCCATGCTCCAAGCCTTGCGGGGCCAGGTGAGATCAGCAACTGTCCAGTCGCTTGGGACTTTTTGTGGATTGGCAGGCGAGTGCACTGCAGCCACACCTGTCAGGCAAGCACATAAAACCCCTGTGCCTGTGGTTGCTGGAATGTGTAGGCAACAGACAATTTCTTGTTCTTATTCTTATGCCTGCTCATCCTCGAAAGTCCTTCAGCAGGCACCCTGTCATCCTGGCTCAGAGTGCGAGGACGTCCATGGAGCGACCTGTCAATGACCCACATGTCACTTGACACGATTCATTCCGTCTTGCAACTGTGCAGGACACGCCTTGTCGTTGCAAGGTGAAGCAATCTTGTTCCTGTGGTCAACGTGTTGAGGACAGAGTCAGAGAAATACACATAGTGCATACTGTATATACACATATTCATTGTCTTTTAAATTGTTTTAATATATGTATGTATATATATATATATGACATAGTTTCAATCTTCGACTCTCGACGAAGTGCAGCGACCATGTTCGTGGCCTTTGCTTCGTGAGGAACGGAGCTGTGGAGCTTTCAGTGAGCTCCGACGCCCACAATTTCCACAGCTACGTAACAGCCCATGAAATCCAAGAACAGTCCATCGGTTCACCTCTTCTGATTCAGTCGTTGTTTGGCAGAAGATCAGCTTCTCAGGCATTTTGCTACTAGTAGCTTCTTGTTCCTAGTAGCAAGAATGCTACTATATAGTAGTAATTCCCTTTGTTACTAGTACCGATGCCCTTGCTCCTAGTAGCTTCTTGTTCCTAGTAGTAAGGCCAGGAGCTACTAGTAGCGTCCTTGCATGAGTCTTCTCAGTTTGAGGTTGCCTTCCAAGCTGTGAACGTCCAGCTCTGCCTTTGCTTCCAGAAGGAAAGGATGCTGCGGAATCCTTCGGAGTCGGAGTCGTTGTGTCGTCGCAGGAGAATCTGTGAAGTACACGGTCAGGCCCTCTCACTCTACTTTGGACTCGACCATTCTTTTGGGAATCAGCGATACCGTACCTGGTGATACTTCATGTAAAGAGAGAAACACGATAAAATTAGTAAAGAAGAGTGAAAGAGATCTTTGTGCTTGTTCAGTTGACCTGTTCAGAAAAACTTATGCTAAGGCCGATCTTTTCCAGCTGGCAACGCAGCACCGAAGATACATCCAGATGCTGGAGGTGCATTGCAGAGATACAAATCTCCTCATGCCCTTTTCATGAAGCAATGTGAAAAGTCGAATGGGAAGTCCCTCACTTCTTCTGGCAGGACACCTTTGCCAGGGCGTTGCTATCCTGCAAAGGCGCCTGGTCTGATGCCTTGCCTCAGACATGGTGAAAATATCTTCAAGATTTGCTGCTCTGGAGTCGCTCTTACTTTAAGGAAGGGTTGTGCGTATTTTGAGGATTTTGCTACCAACCTTCTCAGAGAAAATCGTACAAGCTCTCCACTTGTACTCAACGCAATAGAGTGACTGGGTAGCACGTGATCTTTGTTGCTGGCCTTGCAGGGGCTGCAGCGCAGCACGTTTACACAAGCCTTTTTGGTGAAAGAAAACTGAGCACCGATGTTTTCTGTAGGACAAGCTAGTTTGGCTTGGGTGGGGGATGGAGGCTTGGATGCCATTTTGGCTCAAGCCTCCATCCAATGTCCATAAGGGCAATGTTTCTTTTGGGCTGGGTGGTGGCTATCCTCGCGAGTGGTTTGGATGCTGCCGTCCGCGGCAGTGGCTCGGGCCATGGTGACCGTTCAGGACATTCTGGACCACTTTGCGGTGCCGACGGAGCTTTGGCAAGCTTTCGAGCGGGAAGCGGGGTCTCCGGGCGACGATATCCGCCTACTTGCCGCCCTACCAGGTTCGGTCATTGCTGCCTCCTTGACTCAGGCTTCCTTGCCTGGGAACGGTCCCCTCTCGGCCATCCAAGCCGCTCATGTGGGATTGGTCTGGAAGTTGGCGAGGAAGCTCATGCATGTGAAGGGTGGCGGCGACTGGGACTCCTGGGCGGAAGAGGATCCATGGGCTCCAACGACAAGCACGGGAAGGCCTCACAAATGCGCAGTGAAGAAGTAAAGAAAGAGAGCGGTGGACAAGACCAAGGTGACGAAGGCGATGGGAAGAAAGATGACAAAGAGGAAGGGGTTGAGAAGGAGAAGGAAGAGAAGAAAGACAAGGACACGATCAAGAAGGAGCTGGAGGAGAAGATCGACAAGTACATCAAAAAGGTCGCAGGTTCAGGTTCTTGCATCACTTTGCAGGACCGAGGGATCCTTTGGGCGCAGCAATCCACCGGGTGGCGAAGAAGAGGGGCCTGAACGTGGAAGTCATCGCGGCCGAGAAGGATTGGGGTCAGGACCTTTGTGAAGACGAACCTTACAATACACACCTCAAATGGGCTAGAGAAGGTTTGATCGACGGTTATCACAGCGGCTTCCCCTGTACTACGTTTTCGCGATTGAGGTTCAGGGAATCGCCAAATATGCCAGGCCCTGTGAGAACTTGATCTGAACCATACGGGTGCAGCAAGAACAACGAGGCCCAGCAGAGGGAGTGTGACAGAGGGACAGTGATGTTAGCGAGATCGGTTCAAATGGCAGCTGAACTCGCGCAGAACCCCACTTCGACGACGGTATGCAGACCTACGAGCATGGAGAACCCACCGCCATCGCAGGTGGACAAACATCTGTCGGCGTGGGGGATGGCGGAGATGGTAGCGTAATTATTTGCGACTGGCAGGTGTGAAGATCACGGTGTTCAATACTTGCGCCTATCAATCCTGCCGAGCGCGAGGTGACCGACATTGGAAGCCACAACAATTTGCAGGGATGCTCTACGGCATCGAGACGATGACGAGGGAGTGCAAATGCGGCAATGCCAGACACCGACCAATCATGGGAAGAGAGAGTCGCAAGAGTCTGGCGAATACCCTTTGGAACTCTGCCAAACGTATGCCCACTTGATGGACCACTTCACGAAGATGGCAAAGGCGGAGTACATGGAAGGGAGGTTGAGGGATTCCATGAACGACCACGACGAAGTGTCCACCTTAGACGCGGAGGCGACGGAGATGAGGGACAAGAGGAACAAGGAGGGGGTGAAATTGTCGCCGACGCCTGAAGCCCAAAGACATCGAGAACGAGGGGAGAAGAGGAAAGCGCAAGAGGAGCCTGCAAAGAGCAACAAAGGGATGTCAGGGAGAGATCATCGAGACGCCGAAGGTTCGAGGAGGCACAGGAGAGAAGAAGACGTCAAGACGACGAGATCCAGGAGCAGGAGAAGACAGAGGGAGGTAGCAAGGGAGAAGCAGAGGAGCAGGTCCAGAAGGAGGAGATCGAGGGAGAGAGAACAGGACTTGCGATGGAAGCCTGGGGAAGGGAAGTACGGCGTGCTCAAACAGGACAAGAAGGGGCTGGCTCAATAAGCCTTCGTGGGGGGTATGAAAAACCCCATGGAAGTGGTGGAAGGTTTGCCGAACTTGGGCCGGAGGATTCTGACAGCTTGGGAGCGCCGTTGCAATCAGTACCCCAGGCCTTGAAGGTGGGCGAAACCTATGGGTCGCCTGAATTCCTATTGGAATGGAGGTGGATCGAGAAGTGGAAAGAAGAACTGAGGAAGCTGACGGGGGCGAGAGGTTCGGCCAAGGTGAAGCTGGCGGAGAAGTGGTCCTACGTATCCCCGCTGGACGCAAACCTGTTCGAAGCCTGGGGACGAAGAGCCAATGACACGGAAACGGAGGTGCGCAAATGGATCAGAGAAGGTGTGCCGTTGGGGATTGAACTGCCCATCCGGTCGTGTGGAATATTCCCTCCAACCCTTGAAGGAAGAGAGCCCCAATGACAACGAAGACTGGCAAGGAGACTGGCAAGCAGTCCAAGGACTACGAGAAGACATCGGGAACTACGCGTCAGTCCTGGAACAGGAGGAAGACGCATAGGTGGAGATCGAACGCCTGATACACAGAGGCTACGCCATCAAGGCAAAGAAAGAGGAGGTGGAGGCGGCGAAGTTCAGGAGAACAACAATTTCAAGGTTGGGCCTCATCGTCAAGACGAAGGAGGATGGGTCCAAAAAGAGGCGCATCATCATACACCTCAGGCGTTCTGGCAACAAGAAAGCCCCGCTGGAGGAGAGGCTGATACCGCCTCGCCCGATGGACGCCATAGCTATGGTGAGGCGAATGCACGCAGCTCACGCGCGTGAGACGAGGCCTCACGACAAATCAATGGAGCTGGTGCTGATCGACGTATCAGATGCCCACATGCACCTGGCATCCCGCGTTGGACACCGACCACTGGTTGCTGTTCGTGGCCCTGCTATTTGGTTACAAGACGGCGCCGTTGACCTGGAGCAGGGTAGCAGCCTTTGTGGCAAGGATGGTCCAGTCGGTGATCCCAGCCGATGCAGGCATGCACCAAGTCTACTTAGATGATTCCCTGTGGGTGCTCGCTGGCAAACTCGAGACGAGGAACAGTACCCTAGCGTGCATTTTAAACACAATGGCTGCACTCCGCTCAAGTTGTCGCTGGCGAAGGGGGAGAGGGCCACATCTGTGACATGGATTGGAGTCAACTTCAAGCTGGTGGCGCCAGACTATGACTTCTTGCTGGTCACGTTGCCAGAACGCTTCATGAGTGAACTTCAGAAACAATGACAATTGGAAGCGTGGGACAAGAAAGGGATGATCAGCTGCGCAGAACTTCGTAAAGCCGCAGGCAGAGTAGCTTGGCTACCAGGCATGCTACCCAGGGCCCGTTGGG